TCAGAGCTTAAATTTAGGCAAAATAATAATAATAATAGTAATAATAATAATAATAATAATAATAGAAGAGATGCTTTCCAGTGGACATGGTTTTACACTATCTCCCCCAAACATTAGACAAAATGGCATTGTTTACAAAAATTTATTAATACAAACTTTACATACTTTGAAATAACAGTTGTCAAAGTCCAATTGATCAAAATCATGGGTGCTGTAACCATACGTTCTGTTGTAGTGGTTTTTTTCTTGGTGTTTTCTTTTGTTTTTGTTTTTTTAATTTTTTCTTGGGGGATGCTTTGTTTTGAGGGAGGTTTTTGGTTTTTAATTTTTTTGGTTTTTTGTTTGTTTGTTGTGATACTTAAATCACTACACAGAAGACAAAGGAGATAGATAGATAGATAGATAGATAGATAGATATAAATATTTCCAAAAAGACTAACGTCTAACCTTAGTGAACACGGCATTTCCAAATTAGATCCACTGGATTTAAGGCTCTGGGCGACAACAAGCGACCAGGGCTGGGTGGAAACTGACTAGCCCACGGGACTGGCAAGGCGAAGCTGAGCACTACTACTTAGCACATCAAAACGGAGCCCTAGAGGTCGCTGTTATCGCACCAAAACATGTGACACAAACACAAGGCAAGAGGTCCTGCCAGTTGTCCTCGCCAAAGGAACAACTCGCGAGGCTTAGAGGAATTCAACAGGAGGAAAAAACCCAAACAAAACCGAAAGAAAAGAAGAAATGCAAGCTGATGTGTTGCAGCATTGTAGGGCCACTAAATAGCCATCTGTGAACTGGTGGCGATTTAAAAGGCGAAGGGAAGGCACGAAAAGCTGCAAACGGCATCCTGTGTCACATGGCCTGAAGAGAATGCAAAATTCAAGTAAGATTGATCTCATACACACCGCTCAGGGATCAGATCGAAGGGGGCTCCTCCACGGCTGCGCTACAAGTAGCCCGCTTGGGGCTTGCCTGCTGCAGACTCAGTGGGGTTGCTTTGAATGATTACCCGTGGGGAGGGGGGATGATCGGATTAGGAAAACTGGGACCGGTCTGGCCTGCGCCAGGCTGGGAAGTGGTCTTTGCTCTGGTGAGCGGCTCGTAAATCAAAGGCACCGCCTGGACTTCAGCCCCTTCCAAGTCTCTTCACACCCAGCTACCTAGAAGCAACATGCCCTCCATTTCATGCAGACTCGCTTGCTAACTGCTGTTAGGATCAGGGTGCCACCCTCTCTCCAGCTCCCAACTGAGCCCAACTCGTTTCCAACAAAAAGCACTTGGCTTCCAGCAAATTGATCCTGCTGGCCTCAAGTTCCACCATACTCAGCATCAAGCAACAACTCCAGTGCCAGGCCAATTCAGGATGGAATTGGGGGGCAAGAGAGACAGACAAAGGCCCATGCTTTGTCCATTCCATAGTACCTTTTTAAAGGGAAGTTTTTTTTAAAAGGCATGCATTTTAAGAAGATGCTTTTGTGATTACTCTTTTATACCTCATAATAACTGTTCTGGTTCCCCATTTTAAAATGTGAAGCAAAAAGATATGTGCCTTTGCCATGAACAATATAGTGCATTACCAGCACTATCCTAAGCAAGTTTAGACAGAAAAATGATACCCCACAACTCCCTGCATCCCCCAGCATGCATAGGTGGCTGAGGTATGCTAGGAGTTGCAGGACTTTCTTCCATCTAAAAATGCAAAGGGATATGCCCTTACATTTTACAGCAAGTTATTCATTGCGTAAACTACAGGTGACCTTAAGGAATGATGATTGCATTATTGGAATGTAACCCTTTAAGCTAGGAAGGATGTTTGAGATCAAGGTGCTAGCCCCTCGGACTTCAGTTGGGTAGCCACAACCGACCTGAACACTGATTTGTAAGTAAAATCCCATAGTTTCAAGCTATCTCTCAAACAAATGGAAGAAAGGGGACAGCTTAAGGTTGCAATTCTATGCCCATTTACCCAAGGGTAAGTCCTACTGTACTCAGTGAAACTTGCTTCTGAGTAGAAATAGCCTACAGTTCATTCGTGGGATTTGGGATTGGGCTGCAGAAATAAGATTTCCATTTTTTTTTCCTTTTTCTTTCATCAACTCTGAATCCCAACCCAGTAAATCTGAACCCATCTTATTGAAACTGGTTGACACCCTGATCCTAAACTCGCATTCTACCTGACAGGAATTCCCAGCTGATAAAAACCCAAAAGAATAGCATGTCAAAGAACCATGATTAATACTTCTTGTTTGGAACAGAACATTCTCCTGGGTGCTGATTATGGTGCTCTTCCTCAAAACACCAACTTCCCTTGATTTCAGTAGGGAGGCAGGGATGACTGTCTTTTGCTAGATTAGGTTAGTTTGGTGCTTGATTGGGTTCTACTTATTCTTTGCATAGCTTCTGTTCATTCATAGCTGTGGTGAGCACTGTGTGCAGGCCCATGCCAGAGAGCTGTGAATGTACAGAGGACATGGGGTGAGGGGGAGGAAGAGCTGCTTCCAGAAGAGAGTGTGGAACCATAACCTTAAACCAATTTCAGTAGAATTTGATTGGCTTAAATCCAAGTACATTAACAGAACTGAGTTACAAATGTATTAATTCCTTAGAAGAGAGAGGAAGAACAAATGCCTTCCAAATGTGTCTATTTAAATACCTTCGATTCCTCCCCCATCCCATCCACCCTCACATTCTCCCACACACCCACCCATACATACTTCAAGATATCCCTTCATACAGCAAGAGAATTGATCAGCTGTTAGAAACTGAAGCGCAGGTGGACACTACACATTCTAGCATGACAAAAGTTGATTGTATGAAATAAATTTTACTAAGCGGTTAAAGCCATGATGTAGAAAAATACATTTTAAACCTCCAAACTCAATAAATCAACAAGGAGCAAAAAAAAAGTTTAGTAATACTGCATAATTATTTAGTGGTAGATAGATAGATAATAGATAGCTGTGGTTGCTACAACAGGGAGAGGGGCCTAAAACGATCTTACAATTAGAGCTTGCATCATAACAAAACCAAAAGTGCCCAAGGCGATTACAATATAATTATTGTTGCTTTCAAAGGAAAATGAACTAAAGTGACTCAGTTGGAAAACACAACATTGCGAGAGAGACCAAGAGGGTGGGGTAGCCAAAAAATCTACAGGGAACAAAGGCGAGAGAGAAAGTGACTCCCACTGGGCTGGTGGGCAGGGGCTGGTGGGGCAGTCGATTATAGAGAGAAAACACTAGCCAATATCACAAGATGCGAAAACATATGGACAGCACTGGAGAGCTACACGGGATACTTTGCATCAAGATCCAATTCGTGGGTCTTTGAAGCTGCATCTATACAGACAGCAGAACTGAAGGAATAAGTCCTGAGGTGGAAACATGAAATTTACCACTTCAGATTCCTGTGCAAATTTTTGAATATCCCCATGGATTTTTTTCTTTCTTGTTACTCTGCCAATAGAAAACTAGTATAGTAGGAAGATGCTCTGAAAGTGCTTTTCCTGATGCACTAGTTTTCTACAGGCAGAATAGTTTGTTTGTTTTTTGCCACCTATGCCTCAATTGGCACAGCCTATTTTACCAAGGTAAGAATCACCTGATTCTACTGCCTGCATAGATCTATCCAGAATGGGGGCGGGGGGGGTTTCACTCACATAACTCAGATCGTGCCAGTCCCAGACTCAAAGGATTGGAGAGGTGCTTCCTTCTCTATTCCTTCCTACTTCTGAATTCCAAAATTCCTAATGGAGTTAACTTCTCAGTTCCGGGTTGTATCCAGTGATGGTCTAACTTAAGGTCCAGTCATTGCAGCTGCTCTGCTCAAAAGGAGACTAACATTGGATATCATGATTTACAGTTTCCCATTTTCCCTGAACAGGTTGTTTCCATCCCCTCTCTAATCTGTTATTCCAAAGACCAGAAATGCACTTTGATACAGTGCTAGGGAAGTGGTCTTTTCAACAGTTTGTTCTACAATCTCACACACACTTGTTAAATTTTGTATAAATTGAATGGGAGCAGTTCCAAAGCTACTGGTCTTCACTACTCACAACAGCTTTCTCAAATGCCTGGGGAAGAATCCACTCTTTGGCCACAGCTGATTTGGGATTTAAGGACATTCGAAGGGCAAGTAAAGCACATCTTGGGTGAACTTGAGTTGGCTCCCTTTTTCCCTTAGTACCAGAGCAGAGACACAGAGACATAGAAAAGGGCTGAGAAAGCAGGGAAATGCCATCTCTAGGGGAGGGGGGGGGGAAGCTAGAGGGAAGGGGTATGGGAAGAGAGAGGGGCATGTGGAAGGAGCCTAACAGGAGACTCACCAGGGCAAGGGACTGCGTCAGCAATTCTCCCAACTCAATAGCATCATAATCCCCTTGTAGCAGGGCATCTTTGTCTATGTACAGTAGCAAATGGAGAATAGTAATTTCTTCGACCCTGTCATGGATAAAAATACTCTCCTTTTAATTTCCATTACAAAAATAGGTGTAATATTCAAAACAACGATTGTCACTCTTTCTGCTTTTTTCTTCTATTTTATATAAAAACATAAAACATCTCAGGCAACTGTCCTCAGCCTTGTGTGCAAATGCTAACCACTAAAACATAATTGATCCTTCCTATTCCCTAGTCTATTGAGATAGCTCTCTAGCCTACTCTAATCTTATTTATTTATCTATTTATTAAGGATTGGTCCACAAAGTAGATCTGTGCGTTTCTCTAGTGCTTATTTTAAAATTTGTTTGGGGTTGGGGGGGGGGTTGGGTTTTTTGTACAAAAGAAAAACAATATTATTATCAAAATATTCATTTAATGGCTTTACTTCATACATAAATACATGTTTAGATAACACAGGAGCGGTGATTTGGAAATGTCAGTTTGGAAGTCTGACAAAAGTCAGTTTGGAAATGACTTTTTTAAGGAGGGGAGGGTCCTCTCTCGGATTTTTTTTCCCCGGGGGCTTTTGTATACAGGGGAGCGGTTGGGAACTCATTGCTACAAATAAGCTACTCGCCGTCCTTTGTTTTTAACTCTTTGTTTATACCTTTTCCCCAGGACTGCTGCCAAGTATTTCTTGACAGCCATTTGTTTTCGATAACGGCTATAGCTGTCTGTGAATATGCCATCCGAGTGCCTTTTAGAAAGCGGTTCCGAGTCATCCTCCAGGCCACCAGCTCCGCTGTAAGGGGGAAAGCAAAGCAAAACAAGATTTTGCAACATCAGAAGCCTCCTGCATGTCCCTAGCCGCATAAGCAAGTCCTTTGAAGCAAAGGAAAAAGAAAGCAGCATTCGGTCACACAGTACACCTATCCTCCAGTTCTAGAAAATGGGCAGGTCAGTTTCACTGAGGATAAGAGTTTGTGAGATCCCAGCAATGTGAGATCTGGAAAGTCTGTTTCTACCTTTCGGGTGAGGCTCCCATTCAAACTCATCACTTTCCCAATAAACAAAGCCCAGAAAGTAACAGCCCTTTAAGGACCTGATCTTCTTTACCTTTGATCAGGTTGCTGTCCTCTCAACTTACGGTGTTTCAAAGGTGATGGGGGAATCTCACCCTTTCCCATTTCTTTATTACTTGGACCTGGTCTAAAGTCCCAAAGCAATAGCCTGTGCTAATTGTCTTCACCTTTTTCATAGCACTAAGCTTTTCTATGTTGTTGTTAATAAATAGAAAAGAAAGGACAAACAGTCTTGCAGCAGCTTAATGTTTTTGCAGCAATAAAGCTACTCCTGATATCAATTGTTGCTATGTATTATTGTTATTATCATATCATCATTATTACCATATAATGCACAGAGTTGCTCAAAAGCATTTGGCCTAGATGAGATTTAGTGGGATACGGGTACTTTTCTCTCTCTCTCTCTCTTTTTGTCCCTATTAAACAGCTAAAGCAACACGTATCTGGGGGTGAGGACTGAGAAATAAAGGGCAAGCCCCTCCCTGAAGAGACACAAAGGGCTTTCTCTAAACACACTGTGGAAGTTGAAGTCTGATCATAATACAAGTCGACAGTCAGGAGACAATCTCTTCATGGTATGAATTATTCATTCTGAAATTGTGTAATCCATTTCCCCATGGGCTCTATTAAAATGTTACCTTCTGCTGATCGCACATGCACACCAACGACTAGCATCAGCCAAGAGATTTGATTTTAAACCAAAGAATGGGGGCAAGGGGTATCAGGTGCTTGCAATCTTGTTTTGTCCCCCACATTCTTGGTAAATGTGGATCTGGGTTTGTGGAAATGGTGCCTTTCCTTTCTGAGGGAGCCTAAGTATTCAACTACCCCCAGAAGGTCAGACTCTGTAGAGAAGCGGGGCATAGACACTGACAAGGTCTTTATCAGCTGAGCTCACCATTGCACCTTTTCATACTGTCAGACTGAAAGGGATTTAGAAAGGCACAGGGCAGGAGGCTCAGCAATTACCCATAATAGCCACACATTTCACCAGTATTGCAGTCCAATCCTTTTCCTGTCCCACGAAGGTCCAAGAAACCAAGAAAGCCCACCTACCCATGAGTTCAGCACAACTAATTTTGATAAGATACCTCTGGAGTAAATGGTTTCCAATTTCTGTCCAGTTTATCCATGGTGAACTGAATGTCTCGTTGATTGCTGTGGCTTTACTTCCATGAAAGTATGTTTTGGTTGTGGCTCTAAATTAATCTGCACTCTGCCTCTGACCATAATTTTGGAGGAGCAAAAACAACAAAGAGCTTATTGTGCCAGAGAAACAAAATACATGGTGCTGCAGGGCTCTGTTAGCACCAATGCAGCTCCTCTTTTGGAAGTCTTGGGACACCGGTCCCACCAACCTGAAGGGAATTTATATTCACACAAACGTATGTAGGATGGCATAATGTGCACTTAACATTGAAGAAAATAACAATAACCGATCAGAGGAATCGACCAGGACTGGACGATCAGCCAGCCAGTGCAAGGCAAGCGGTCCCATCCTAAACTACCGATTGTCCTTCTAATCCTACACGCAGTTGGGCACTGCTTCCCTTGCACCCGATGCTGTGGGCTTGCAGGATTTAAACCTGAGTACAGTTAATCCAGACACTTTCTTAAATAGTCTGTGGACTGAAATGTCTCCCAGTTTTTCTTACTTGCCTCTAGTTCTGCCACTGCTGCAGAGAGGTGGCAGGCCAATAACTTCTGAATAATCTTTTCAGTGCGGCTTAATCCAGTCTACTTCCTATCAGATGGTCCTTTCAGCCTTGTTTATTCAGGAATTGCGTTCCCGCGCGCGCGCGCGCGAGCGCAAATAAATAAGGGCACCACGCTCAGCCCCAAGAATAAAGAGCATCTTACCCCACCCGCTTGGCCATCAGAGAATGCAGATACTTCCTCGCCGACAACTGCCCCAGCACTTTCCTGTAGGCTTTATTAAAGATCCCATCCGCGTGCCTGCAAAGGAAGAAACGGGGAGGGAGGCCCCACGAGACACGGGTCAAAACAGCGCAAGCGCAAGCTGCGAAAGTGACCCCATGGAGGGACCGCTCGCCACTTCGGCGGCACGCATCCTGCAGGCGGTGGGCTGTGGACAGGGCCGATTGCTCAAGGAGCGGCGGCCTCGGCCACAGGCGCTTCTGCCTGCCCCCCCCGCCCCCAGGAGGAGCTCCCACCCGCTTTTCCTGAGCGCGCGGCGCAATTTCTGGGCCGTTTCAAGGACCCGGCGCGCCGCTTCGCTAACGAGCTGCTTCCGCTGCTGTTCCTCGCCTGCATTTGACGCCGGGGTGCGGGAGAGGCGGGGATCGGCCTGATTTTCTCCCTGCTTTCCTCTCCCCCACCCCGACCATCTCCAACCTATAGGGCTGACGTTGAAGCCTTATATAGGAGAGTATCCGTACTTTGCATTAATCTCCCTTCTTTTCTTCCTCCTCCCCCTGTTCTAAAGACAAACCTAAGAACCGTGCGGGGAACACACGCCCCACCGCCGCCCCGCCCACCGGCGCAGCCCGATCCCAGGCCGGTTTCCTCGGACGGAAGTGCCACACTTTCTGTCCGCCAGTCTCCCAGGTAAGCCTGCCTTGGATTGTAGCCCTTTCTCCTTTTTTTTTTTTTTTTAATCACCTCTTTTCCGGTGGGTAGTACAAGGTGTAAACGTCGTCCAGCATGGAGGAAGGGTCGGCGATCGCGAGGGGCTCGCTGTCGAAGGCGTAGTCCGAGAGGCTGTTTCCGTCCTCATCGTACACTTCATCTTCCAGTCTGCCGGAGAACGGGAACAGAGGACACCGCTTGGTTTCAGGATCGTGGCGGGCGGGACTTTGGAGAGGGTGCCAGGCGGAAGCGGGCAGGCCTTTGAGCACAGAGCCATTCCTCCCACAGGCAAGCCCATGTTCCACAACCTGAAGGGGCTTTCCAGATGTGTTGGATTACAGCTTCCAGGATCCTCAGCCCAACACATCTGGAAGGCCCCGGGTTGCGGAACGCGGTAAGAGAGGTGCCAATTTGGCCCGGGCTCGTTATCCACCCCCTGACGCAGTTTACCTTCCCTTGCCCTTCTGCCCGCTTAGCCGGACAGGAGTAGAGCCTGCCGACTTACGAGACTGAATTGAGTTCTGGAGCAAAGAAAACTCCCCGAGCTCTCCACGGGGAGGCCCGGCAGAGCAGTGGAAACGGGAAGGGGTGTGAGGGGAGAAGCTTCCCAGCTCGCGTGTGCGCGCCCTGAGGCGCCATCGCTGCTACCCACGTTGCATTCTTCTATCCGGACGCCCTCTCGACGGGCTTTCCCCGATAACCTGCTGTGTTGGTTACAACGCCCTCCATGTTGGCTGGGGATTGTGGGAGTTGTAGTCTGACGTATCTGAAAGGCAACTGGTTAGGGAAGTGGGTACCCCCAGACCGGGCCCAGCCAGAGGTGCAGAAGACCAAGAAGGCAAACCGTTTCCTTTCTAGTCTTTTGCTTGTTCGATCTGCCCATGGCATTAGCACTGGGGGACAAAGGCGACGGCTGGGGCCAAGACCATCCTCAACGGAATCAGGGTGGCTTGTCCTCCACCATCCTGGTTTTCCACCCAAAGGCACTGCCAGTCCTGCATCTGCCCCCTACCCCAGCCTGCAAGCCCCTCGCTGCCCATGTTCAGGTGACTCTGTCTGAAAGCGCGACAGCGACAGGAAGCCTTTGCTGGCCAGAGGCAGCACTTGGGGCAACCCAGTGCCAGGTTTCCATGAGCAAGGGAGGGCTCACTTTGGACAAAGCCCCACCATCCGGACCTGTAGCCAAGCTAGGGAAGGTCCTCCCCTTGAATTTTGTCTGGTCTCTACATTTTTTAAACAAAGAAATGGTTTTTTTTTTAAGTTCACAGCCTTATTGTTAAAATACCTGCAAACCAGATGAACTCCCTCCCCTACTTTCTGGATGCATTCCCTCCTGAACTTTTAAGCAGGCTACGGAACCCGAGATCCCTCTTCGGAACTGGTCCTGACGAAGCGGCATTGGCAGAAAACGAGAAGTCCGTCGTAGGCCACTGGCCAGCTCTGGCAAGCGAGGGAGGGTCTGCAAGGCCCGCGTTCCTCTTTGCTTTTAGCCAGAGAGACTCTGGCCCCTTTTGTTGCCCCAAAGCGCCTGGATCTCCACATCCAGTTCAGCCAGGAAGGGGTTTCCCAGTGAGTTTGTCAGCGAGGCGGAATTTAGGAGCGGAACGCCTGAATGTCGTCCGAACTCAACCACGAAGCAGTTCGATCGCGCGTCCCTTCCTTTCTCTGCACAGACGCACGCGAACGCCCCTCGGGCTCTTACAGCGCTTCCTCCACCCCCACCCGATTTAGGTCACTGTGTATCTCCGGCAGCTATTTTCGTCCACGGAGGTCTGGCAGAAGTCATCAATAATAGATGCTCCTCCAGTGTTTCGCGTCTGCTTATTCAGGCGTTTGCACGAAGCCGGCGCTCCCGCAGCCCGGCGCTTCCCCCGCTCCACCCACTCAGGAAAAGGAGTGCCTCCCGTCGGCTCAGGAGCGGAGGCAGCGGCTCCGCACCCTCGCCCAGATCTAGCGCTAAGGACGAGCCGAGGGGGCAGTGAGCGTTTTCCAAAGAGAGGCAGGAGGGGTTCGTGTCGGGACAGAGCCGAGGGCCTGCGCAACAGCGCCCCGGCGCACTTGGCGCCCCTCTCCTGCGCAGCTGCTTCGAGCGAGCTGCATTCCCAGTGGCACACGCGGGAGGGGGAGAGCCTCCTGCTCTCCGAGGATCGGTGAAGGAGCGCGACTCCTCGCTCCGTCCCATTTTCTCTGATCATCCGATGTAGAATCCAGTAGCGATCAGCAGCTTTTTGGCTCATTGCATCCTGCCCGACAAGCGTTTTAGTACACACGGGCATCCCTTTGAACTGGGCGCAGCGACCTCCTCCTCCTCAGGACCGTGACGTTGCTTGGGTGCCCTGCTTCGTATGGAATCCCTCATCCGCCAAACAAAGGGAATGTGAACTGTTCCTTCCTGAGCCTACTTCTGCTGATGTAGCCTGAGGAGTTCTTTGAAACGACAAGATTTGCCCTACTGGCTCTGACCAGGGATTTCCTCCCTGCAGGTGACAAGCCCGAAGCATCTGGGAAGTTCGCAAACAGCAAAAGCATGGATTCGATGGAGACGGTTCCGTTTAGCGGTTGCGGACCATCGCAACTTGTTACAGTCCTTGAAGTGGGCGGGCGGGCTCACCCTCCACCAGTTGGTCTGATGCCCTTTAAAAAAGCGATTTAAGGAGGTGGCCCTCAGCATATCTTTAAAGAACACAGAAACCTTGAGAGCAAGGAATATAAAGTAGATACAATTGCAGTGATCTTTAATGAAGCTCACTTAGGTTATGCATAAAGATTAGGGTGTCCTTTGCATTTTTAGACAGGAAAAGTCCTACAACAGCTCCCAGCAAGGACAGGGAGTAGAATTTTCTTCTGTCTAAAATTGCAGGAGTGCATAAGCATTTTTTAAATACTACTACAGAAAAAAAGGCAAATGCTTCTTGGATGTAGCCTGGTACTGTAGGCAGAAATTAGTTGCTAACTTCAGCCCATTCTAAAGACTTTTATTTTTTTTTTCCTCAGACGATTGCCATGAAAATCAGTCTGATTTATTTCAATAGAACCTACTTCCAGACAAATATGTTTAGAATTTTGGAGGGAGAAATTGGTTCATAGTTTAAACCCTCAGTGAAAATTAACATCCGGTTCCTGATAAATTAATACATTTTTGATTGCTAACTCCTGGTGTAGACCCATTAGATTCTATGAGAGTATTCCAAAAGCAAAAGCTTGTCTAAGGATTCCAGGTGAAAGGCATTCAGGGAAGCAATCTAATAACCGAACCACATTTCTGTTCAATGAAACTGACTTCATGGAAATAAATTCTTTGAGGATCCTGGTGTTTCCATTTCAAGAAGCCATAGCAACTAAGCTTTTGAATCTTATAAGGCAGGTCTGAAGACTGAAATGACAAAACCAAATCGACCAATCGAATCCTGCCTTCTGGGGCAGTCTCTAGCTCTACGCACTTCACAGTGGGGGAGGGGGAAATGTATACATTATGCATGACTTCGAGCTGGGCCACAATTTAGTTAAGCTGAATTACCTAGATTCCTAGATGGATGTCTTCATACTGAACACAATTGTTTAGAAATAAGCACTTTTAAAATCAATTGTGTCAAGTTCTATTATGCTTTAATGTTTCTAGATCAGCGGATGATATAATTTCACTGCATGCAGATTGGTTTGTCTCTCATATATGCTCTCATATATGCTGTATAGAATACTGTGTCTTGCATCATGGATTAGACTGTACATTTCTGCCTGTGATTGCTACTACCTGACGTATAGACACTGCAGCCAAATGCCTTTCTCTAGTTACTTGCCTACAGGTTAAATACTTGCCAAAAATGTAGCAGCTCATAGCTGGCTAAATTTGGAATGCCAGATGTATGAACTTCTACCTTTATGCATGTGTCCTTAGGTCCCAGAATTTAGGACCTAGAAACAAACGTTCTTTCGTTATGAGACTAAGACTGCAACCTTATGCGCACTGACCTAAGATTAAGCTTTACTGAATGTAAATGGGCTTCTTTCTGAATGTATGTGCATGTAAGTGGGCTGCACACATAACACATACCTACTTGGCAGCAAACTCCGTTGAAATCAATGGCATTTACTTCTGAGTAAGCATGAATAGATACCAGAATGAGGAGCATGTAGTAATCTATCTACAGATATTTAACAATATGCATGTGGCTTTTTAATTCTTCATAGAGAAGCACCATAGGTTTCACAATGGTTGTAGATGCAAAATAATTGTCATCCACCATGATCATGTGAACTGCCCAGACAACCTTTGTTATCAGGCAGCAAAGAAAGAAAAGGAAAAGAGAAAGACAACGATCCCAAACTCATCTCTTGGCAGCAATGCTCCAGGAAGATTTAGGGTAGCTGCCTCCAGTGGCTTTACTGTTTCAGCTTATGCTGCACAGTCAATCCAGTGGAATTCGTACCAGAGATCAGATATCAATTTGAAGCTCTCATTTCAAAACTGGAGAAGGTAGAAGAGGGTAAGACAACATCGCATACATTTTGGAGGAGAGATCGTGGGCTTTCCTACCAGCTTTTAATTATACGAATCGCGCGCACGCGCACTTTCTCATTCACTCGCTCACATCCCAATCATAACCTCCACATGTCCCTGGGTAGTGGGTTTCGCTGCCGTGCGAAGGACAGCAGGCGCACCCCTAACTCTAACCTTCTACGAAGTAAACATGAGCGCTCTGGCCAAGGGCCGACCTCTCCCCCAGTTAGGGAAGGCGTACGTTGGTGGGCGCTTTCCCCTCTTCGCCAAGGAAAGCAACGGCGCTGCCAGCGGCGAGAGGCTGGAGAGCCCGTGATGGACAGCGCCGAGCAAAGGGTTGCGCCCGGCGTTGCGCTGGGCAGGACTGGCCAAGGCACAAGCCCGAGCGCCGCGGGGAAGGCAGTCCCTCGGGCGGGCGGGCGAGCTGGGCTCCAGGCGAACCGCGTGCGGGAGCGGGACACTCACCTCAGCGCCGGGTACGGGAGTCCAGCCGCAGGTGAGCAGTAGACGCTGCAGTGCATGATTATCCCATAAACCAGCAGAGCTACAAGCGCGTTGCTGCACATCGCCGCTCTGTGAGGAAGGAAAGGACGGACGGCGGTCACGGCGGCGCTCCTCCGCGGTCGCGGTCGCGGTCGGTTTGCCCATCGAGCCGCCTTTGGGACACTTCAGCAGCCGCAACCGTTCCCGGTCTCCCTCCCACGCACCCCCACCCTGCTTTCGCCCTCTTCCCCACCCTGAAGTCTTGCCCAAGAGCTCGCCTATCCTTTCCCCAACCTGGCGCCCTCCAGGTTGGACAGCAACTTCCATCATGCCCAGTCCCCATGACAGGAGATGATGAGACTTGTGGTAGCCCAACATCTGGAGGATGCTAGACTCGGATGCAGGTTCTCTTACCATTCAACTCTAAACAGCCAGCAAAAGGTTGGATCTGGTTTAAGAAGGATTCCTCTCTTCCTCTTCTTTTCCTCCCAGGAAGTTTCAGAGGTGGTAATTAATCCTCTTGGAGCATCACCCCCCCCCCCCAGTCTCTCTGTCTCTCTGTCTTTCTTCCTCTGATGGGCGAAAGGGAAGCTGCAGAAAGGGAGGGGGCGTGGGACAGACTTGTAGCTGCCTAGCTGACTGGGGGTGGGGGACAGCTCAATTTTTTAAAAAAGTTTGCAGTTCTAAAGTGGAGTCTGCCAGGCAGGGGAAAGACAAGGGGAAAGAGGGGAGGAGAGGAAGAGGGGAGAAATCCTTGTAGAGTGAGACGGGGGGGGGAAGGGTGATGGTGGAAGAGGAGCTGTTTGTATTCTAGCGGATGCTAGGGAGAGGTTCCCTTTCCCTTCTTCAAGCTGCTTCTGGCTTCAGCGTCGATGTTCTTCTCCACCTGCTCTCCTCCTCCTCCTCCTCTTCCTTTGCCTTCCAAATTGACCACCTTTCTGCTGCCTGCTGCTGTTATCCTAGACCCTTCTTTAGCTACCGGATAGTTCGAACCCTCTCAGCTTTCTGATCTCTAGCTCTCTCTGTTGTTAACAGGGGGCTCTCCTCTTTCCTTCTGTCTGTCTGTCTGTCTGTCTCTCTCTCTCTCTCTGCCTTGCCGCCTTGCAGGATGTCTACCTTGTTTTGTTTCTCTGTTGGTGTGGCCTTCGGATTTTTATTTGCCAATGACTTTTTTTTGTTGTTGTTGTTGCAGTCACGTAATAATCAGTATCAGAAAAGACGTCACCACTCCAATTCCTCAAGGAACAGAACAATTCCAGGTCCAAGATGATGCGTACAGGAGTCATAAGCTTCTCATAAGCACTTTAACTTGCACCCCCCCACCCCAAACGAAAAATCTCAGCGACGTGTCTAATTCTCAAGTTTCACCTTTCCCCTATATTTCTGAGATGGACCATTAAACAGAATGACGCTTGGGAAAAGTCTGTCCTTCACAAATGCATCCAGCTCCTAAACATCTTACCTTAGAAACAAGCCCCACTGATTTCATTTGAACTTCCAAATAAAAATCCAAAATCCAACCTCCTTAGTAAGTGACTTGCACCTGTTTTTCAAGAGAAGATCTACTTTAACAACTCTCAGAGATATTCGTTTACTAAGCCAAGAAATCTGGGTATATGTGTTACTTTGACTGAGATTAAATACTTTAACCGCTGCAGCTGTTGTTGTTGCTATTCTTATAATTAATATTCGTTTTTCAAAGATAATTCGAAGTCTAAACGGATTCTCGGTAGTTTTCTAATTAAAGATGGCAATTGTCAATTTGTAGCTGGTGCATAGATTGATCACCTGCAGGGAGAACAGTTGCTTTCCAAGTGGAGCTGTCCAGACTCTGTGGTGCTGAATTGGCTTTGGCAACCAAACAACGAACTTGGAAGAACGTCGCCACCAAGACAGCTCCATATTTGCAGAGCTCTCACAGTGGCAGGGCAAAATTAGAAATGTCTCTGCTTAGTCCATGCACTGGGAAAGGCTTGCTGCAGTAGCCCTTTCCCATTCCCACCACCCATTTTGAATGTATTATGAACATATGAGTCCCTAATGTGGAAATAAATGGCATCCTTTTTTTAATTTGAGAAAATATACCCTGGGGTCTTGGGCTCTATCTTAGGCTACATCTGATTATATTCTAGGCATAAAATTATAAATTCAAACTTCAGTAGTCTAGAACAATAATGTGCAGGCAATGAAACACAATAATTGTGGAAAGGAGATTTTTTTTCCTTGCAAGTTTAGTTCTAAGCAGAAGAGGCTTTGCAATCTGGGAACCTTGTATATTCAGAGTGGAAGGGGGAAAGATTTCTATTATGATTTCATATGCAGGAGAATTCCTAAGGGAATCATTCCTTGAGAGTTTTTTTATCCATGGGCTTTATCTTCCCAAAATGATGTGAAGGAATTGCCATGGGAAGAGATTGTAGTCTGGGTTTGGTTTCACATAATTTGATATTTCTAATTTCTTATTTCCCTTTCAAAGGTAAAAAACAGATTCTTATTCATTTCAGATAAATGTCTCAAAAATACAAATTGGACTCACACATGTTACTTATTAACCTGATGAACAAAAGAAGCAAGAAGAAGCAGAGTCATCCTGTGTTTGCTTCCTGATTCAGTTACATGGGCTTTATCATGCATACTCACAACATCGTGACCTCAAAATCCAACATGTGTATAGAATTTAATGATGAATGATCAGTTTCACTGTTTTCACATTGAAAAATGGGAAATGAAAAATCATTTATTACTAATGCTGACAGAAGCTGGCTTAATTGCATGTAGACTTTTTAATGTACAAAAATTACAAACATGAGACTTTTGCCTTAAACATACAGTAGGACAACAAACATCTTCACCCAATTTGTAGTTACATAGAATTTAATTTTCAAATAGGAATCAGTCTTCATTGATGAATATTACTCAGCTGTACTTCTTTAACTTCTAATGCTTTCATGATCAGAATTCATGATCCCAATAAAGTTTATCTTCTTTGAAAAGAATTGTAATTTATGGATTTTCAGAATAAAGGAAATCCTACTGACAGGTTCTGTTACAGAAAACTTGTTGCAAGGAGCGTCCGCCACCTTGTGGGAAGTTTTAAAAGGTGCATGGCTTACTACTGAAAAGTCATGTTTAGCTCTCTCCTTTATACAGATTTTACACTGAATAATCACTAAGAAAATGCTTCACCTCCCCACATTTTCTTTTAACTTTGCAACTATCAGTAAAGTTGCTAAAATAGTAATTCCAGTATACATTTATTTTTTTCCCTTTCAACCCAAATAACTGCCTTTTTCATCCAAATTAAGAAGAATAAAACCTAGAAAAAATCAAATTTTCGGCATCAAAAAATTTGTAATTTATCTTAAGATTGTTATTTGGATGTTAGTCCTATTGGAAATAATTGTCTTATTTTAAAAAATATGTTAGGCTCAAGATGTAAGAACCCATATTTTGTAGAACTGGTACATGCTAATCCCCATCATATCCTCCTATGAATGGGAAAAAGTAAAATCTCATTAAATAAGATTTATAAGGCACTTTATCTTAACTAATTGTGCCAACTGCACAGCCCTCTGGTCACAAAAAGGTTAATGCAAGTCATATGACTCTTTGAGCTATGACTTATGCAATGTATTTGACTGGCAGTGCTCCATTTCTAAAGCGCAAGTCTCCCTATTCAGTGTGCACCCTGCTAACTGGAAGTTCTTCTTCATAATCCTAGATATAGAAGGATATAGGATTCAGGAGAAGATTCAAAGTACAGTGTAAAATATCCTGCAAATAACTTTGCCATAGGAAACAGCACACAAATTTCAGAGGCAGGTAGCCTGTACAAGACTGAGAAAAGATCTTGCTTCACCATAAATACTAACAGATGGTTGTATTATAAGAGGAAGAGGAAGATATATGGTATAGATGCAGATCTAGACAAAGACATAGATGTAGACAACTATGCGGGGCCAAGGGGAAAGTGTGCCAGGGAACAATGGCATGAATAAAGAACAGCCCATGACAATCCTACATAAAACTTAAGATAAGCAGGACAGTCATTCACAACAGCAGTACTGGTGTGATAATACTATCATCCAAGCAGTGTTAGGCTAATTAATATGTTTAGCAAGACAGGTAATTAATGTCTCTATTCAAACAAATTATGTACAGTTATTACATACTACTGCACATGCACCTATTAGCCACATTTTCCCAGTACATATACATCCAGCAGAATAGAAATACTGTAATCATCATAAGAATTAAACTAAAACATTAAAATATTTGTGGTAGAGAAATAGAAAATATTGTTTTTCCTGTCAATATATTGAAAGATGAGTACATGAGACACTTGAAACAAAATTAAGGTTAAGACCTTTTTATTCCAACAACATTTTAATAACTTTTAATATTGGTTTAATATGTTTTTAATCTGCAGCCAGGGTGGATCTGAAATTCATTTGTATTATGTTTTATATGATTTTTTATTTATTTATGTAAGCCGTCCTGAGGCTTTTGCAACAGGATGGCATATACATATTATAAAGGAAGGAAGGAAGGAAGGAGGGAGAACACAAAGCTTCTAAATGCAGAGGATGATGGGCTGCTTTTCTGTACCAGAGGGACTGGGTTTGCTTAAATCAATACCAGTCACATCGAGTTAAAATCAATTTCTTGTGCAATTCTGCTATTCAGAATGAAACAATATTTTCTCATAACAACTCCTAATTTACTCACACAGATATGGCTAGCTATTTTCTGACATGGCTACCTACATCCTTCCTCACCATTGATGGCTTTTTACTGTTTCCTCTTCAGACAGTCCATTGACTTCTACAATCATTTGTTTTATGCTCTTACTAGAAAGTTCACAAGCCCCAAGTTTCTATGGGCAGGCACTACCACTTGCAAAACTGTTCAGGTTCTAGAAACAGACTTAAATCTTTGCTCTCAATAAAAGTTCTTTCTTCTTTAATTCAGATATGTCAGTTAAAGCAATAATTAGGTGCAGGTGTCTGATGTAATGTCAAATGCCTCATTGCTTCTACACAAATGTCTTTTCCAGGAGTGAGGAAGCATGACTCAGACAAAC